TATAATGGAGATACCACTTTCTCTCATGTTACAATTTCCGTTTACTACTTCCCATACAAAACACTTCGGTTCCATTGACCGTGCGAATTGCATTCAATATGGCGGGCCTGCCTCTATTCAATCAGTAAGTACTGCTCATGCATCCAACAAATACTACATCATGTAATTTCGATTCTTTTTCACTACTTAATGCCAAAACTAACAGTCCAATATATAGGCTTCCCCATGGTTTTATTGCTAATCTGCAATATGATGATGCTCTTGAAATTTGTGAGCGTGCCGACACCATCGATCTCATTATGTTGCAAGTGGATGTCGAAAATCAGGTAACTAAACAAATAAATTTCTTTTTAATCGTACGCCTTTTGTGGCATGCTGCATTTTATCGATTTGCTTTGACAATATTCGTTTCTGTGTTTACATCAGGGCACCTCTTTTTTGTTATCAGGACGTGTAACGAATTTGACGACGTCCTGGTCCCCTGCATCCAGAATCCATTTCGTCCACCTCACAATTGAGGACGAATTCATTGGTGTTGACATCGTCTTCCCGTCATCACAGTTACGAACGATTGTTGAATCTGTATTCAGTCATGCAGATGTTGTCAATGCTGACTATATGGCCCTTCTGAACATGCTTGGAGAACAGACATTTGAAGTCATGGTCACAGTCGGTCCCTGGAACGATGCATTTGGTTATTGTGAACTTGTGTTGGTAAAATTATTTTTGCCTTTGTTGAATTGAGTACCATGTCATGAACAATGAGACAATGTATTGAGTTTTCTTATTTTGGACTTGCATGTTATTTGTCGTAATACTCAACTAGATTAGATTTGTGATTAGTAAAATTTCATGTAAGTATTTTTATTGTGATTAGCTAATCTTCAAATGTATTTCTAACTTATTATGAATGTTCATTCATATTACATGTTCGTCTTCAACGAATTGCAAAATTGCAACAATCTTATGATAATATAAAACAAGACTCATTTCTCGACACTAACATTATAGATATTGTAACTCCATTTCCTTAAACAAATGCGGCCAACGGGCTGGGCTATAGGCTAGTTTGTAATACAGTTTTGCTGGACCCGATGGAACCATCCAAAGACGTTTTGGAGAAGGAACGAGCCGTTTCTGATTCAGCTATACTATCTGAGATTGATAGAACTATGCAGAGACATCGTGTTAATTCTAGAATGATCCAGTTGGAGAGCAGAACCCGCCACGGCGCCACGGCGAGAGTTCTATGGTTGATTTGAGTAGGGTTTCCTATTCTTTTTGTCGGATTCTTCCACTGGAAGAGTTTGGTGCTGGGTTTTTTGCAGGTTGCTACCACTGGAGAGTTAGATTAGAGTTATGATTGTTTTCTGTTAGGCTCACTTCGAATCATGGTGGAGCTTAGCAAAAACCGAGTATGATGTATGCTGCTTGTATGTAGTTGTTTTGAATTAAAAATTGAAAAGTGCAAATGATGAATGTATGTTTCATAAGCTTCCGTGTTGGTGCCATTTGTATACAGGGGAAAGGAAAATAAAGATATGTCTACCTTTGAATGATTGTAAGCTCATATGTGTTTGGGATGTTTGTTGCTGGTGTTGTGTTGTTTGGTGCTTTTTTAGTTTTGTTGCTGGTTTGTTGATACACTTGTTGCAGTTTGTTGCATGTTTGATGATACAACATGGCAACCAATGATCAAACGAATTCCTTGTTGTAATACTTGTCCAGTTATTTTGGTAGTTGAAGAGTTTGATTTTTTGTTTGTTTGTAACCTTAGAGGGGTAGAAGGCGACTATAAATGAAGGACATATTGTTACTTTTAATAGAATATCACATGTAAAATAAATCTTCATCCAAACAAGAAATTATAACCCAAATACCACATTCAAAATGTAAAATAACACACAAATACCACATTTAAAAAAAAGAGAGTTATTTGAGTTGAAGTACCACACCCCAACAAAAAACTCATCTCAACGACCCCTTCATTTTATTATGGATTTTAGTTTGTTGCTCTGGAATATTAGTTGGTTTCATTTGTTTAGCAGTTATGAATACTAGTTGGTTTTATAAGAGATATTAGTTTGTTATTTTAAAATACTATTTTCTTTCATTTGGATATCAATACAAAATCTACAATACAACAGTTGGTTTTGTCGGGATATTAGTGTGAAAAACTTGAATACTAGTATGAGCATTCTGGATACTAGTCTTGATACATTTTGGAATGGGGTAAATACAATATATTAGCCACAACTATTAAGCGGCAGGGAATAATAGCCACAACTATAGAAATACAAATTATTAGCCAAACGTTAACTCTCTGTTAATAATTCCATTAGATGATGCTGACTAATCTTTACGATGCTGACCTGGCTCCCACGTGGTAGTCATCATATAATATCTTTTATTATTGATTTTAAAAAATAAATTATTAAATACAAAAGAAAATGGAAGGAAAAAAATTCTAAAAGCTCTTCTTCCTCCACCAACGACGTATATGTACCGCCAAATTGTTCCAAACATCCCTTGAACGATGGTTAGGTTGGTCGTAAAGAACACTTGCATCGTGAGGTCCTTAATCAAGATAATACCTTTGATCATAAATAACTACGTTCGACCCAACCTACGATAGCATAACAATAAATTAAATTAATTAGTATATAGATTGATTAACAAGAATTATAAGAACAAAAAAATAGTAGAATGAGTACGTACTGCTTGATAGTCATCATAATAAACACCCTCTTGTTGGTACCAATCTTGGTCCATTTTTCAAGGAAGGTGGACAGAGGTTCGACGGGTTTTGGAGGAAAAAACTTAAGAAATGTTTTCTTATGGCAGTTCGGACTTAGCCGCAACCAACATACCACTATTTCTTAAGTTTTGGGTGGAGAGGGGGATAGGTAGAGAGAAAATCTTAGAGAGGGAGAGAAGGGTTGGTTTTTATGTGAAGAAAATGTAGAGGGGAGGGGGGATTTTATAGCCACAAACGGTGAGGTGGGGTGGGGGGAGGGCGGTTTGGGCGGGAAGGCAAATTGAAAACCGTAGGAGAAGGGGTGGTTTCAAATTCAAAGAGAAACCGTGGCTGGGGGGTTGCGGTTTCTGCGTGGGGGACACAGATCCAAGCCACGGTCGCACGGATCGCTGAGTTGGCTAGCGGACAGCCGTCAGATCGTGAGGGGATCCGACAGTCTGTCTGACCGCCACGTCGGCTCGCGGTTTGTGGCTCCAACAAACACAAACAGTTTCCCCCCTACAGTCTGCGTGTAAAATGTGGCCCCCTGCGGTTTGTTTGAAAATGTGGTATAAATGGAATTATTTCGAAAAGGGTGGTATTTTTGGATCAAGCATTGGATAACTCTGGAGCACCAAAGGACATTGAGCTATTAAGAGAAGAACATTGAGCTTTCATGATAACAACTTGATTGCAATAACAAGTGATAAAATTCTAGGAGTTCTTAGGGTTGTATTCTACGAGTTCTTTTGATAATAACTACTCAAACCTAACCAATTTGATTCGAATGATGAATGCAAGAAAGTAAATATGATGTTTGTTGAGGTACCCTAATTCGAGTTCTAAGCTACCCATGCAAGTAAATGGAAAACAAACAATGCAACAAGAAAGCAAATGTGAGAAGGCAAGTAAAAGGATTTTTGAGGTGGAGTTCTCTAGATGATAATGCATACTAACTCAACAATGAGATGCTTCTATGTTTCATTTGTTTTGATGTCATATCCCTTCCTCTAAGGCCACTTTCTACTAGTGCAATAACCTCCTGCAATAGGAATTTGATTAACTAATGCATGCTTTCAATTCATGTCATCACCAATTAATGAAGAACAAGTAAATTAGGATAGCATATTATTAAGTGTGGGCCTCTCTGAGCCATAATCGATGGTCTATAGCATCAATGATCTAACAATCAAGCATTGATAATACTCAAGGTATAGATGGTTTGGTCATTCCATCTATACTCGCATAACATCAATGGGGTATCACTAAGCATAATTTCTTAACAAACTAGATGATACTAAGCATGATGATATAGTATCATAAAATGAGAGTCACACACATAGAACAACTAAAGAAAACAAAGACTAAAGCTTCGAATGAATAAGCAATAGATGATGCAAGCATTAATTGACTTAAGCATTGATGATAAAAGCGTTGAACACAATAGGCATTCATTGAATCATAAAAATTAGTACATAAAGCATTATAGATCTGCATCCCCAAACAATTTCAAGCTAGTTATGCATAGGAGAATAGGAAGATATCTCCAATGATACATGCATCGATGGTGAAAAATCTCCTTCGAGCTCCAACAAGGCTTCACCTCCTCTCTATGAAGTTCTACCACTACAAATAGAGAGTTAGGCTTATTAGTTCAGTAGTCTGCATAATTTAATTCAAAACTACTATAAACACTATGTTCAAGTGAGCGCTTAGCATTCGTAGGAAAGGGAGCCGCTAAGGATATGCCTTCTTCATCGATGGTGGTACCATCCTTCTCTTCTATGTATAGCTAGTTGGAAATTGATTGTATGAGAATATGAACCCTTTTATCTTTGTATGTTTTGATGATATGATTTCATATTATGCTTGCATTGATGCTTGTGATTTTCGATGCCCTATGTGCGTGCATTGATGTTTTATTGTCTGATGCATATGTGTTTGTTATCGATGCTCATTTAGTTCAATTCTTCATTATCATAGATGTTTATGACTCTATAGTATGCTACTATATGCATTGTGCTTAGTATCGTCTGGGTTGTTAAGAAATTATCCTCTAGTGATACCACATTGATGCTACACGAGTATAGAGGGAATGATCAACCACCTATATCATAAATAGTATCAATGTTTGATTGTTAGATCATTGATGTTATAGACCTTCGATTATGGCTAAATGGGGCCCACGCGTAATTATGTGCTATCCTCACTTCTCCATTCTTCATTGTATTAGGTGATGTCATGAAGCGAAAGCATGCATTAACTAGTCAAGCAGCCTTTGGACTGCGACAGAGTAGCTTTCGAATGCAATTGGCTTTGTCCTTGCAACCTCACACAAGGCTTCCTCGATCACATGACAAGCCATCAACTCGGCAGGGTTCCTGCTCCATTTCCATTTCTCTCGCGTCACAACCTCTACATCACTCCCAATCGATCCCATCGTTGTAGCTCGATCATTCCACCCGAACCCATTAGTTTGAGCCCCGGTTGCATCTGTAACACAACTAACCAACCTTACGCTGTCAACGTGGCATGTGGAATTCTCCGGATCAACCCCATACAGCAAACAACCGATCAATAGTCCCATGGATGGTCTGACTACACTGCAAACCGAATTCCCTCTTCCCTCATCACTCCAGTCTCCCTTACCATCATCCATGAGCTTCTTCCTATACTTCCAATTAACCCAACGACAAGTGAGCGAGGTAGACGACTTACCTGCGTCGAGTGGTGAACTTAGCCCTGTTAGGATGAGCATTCAGTTAGCTGATCGCTCAATTGTGCATCCTAGGGGTACATAGAGGATCTGCTTGTTAAAGTAGGCGCATTCACGTATCATGTTGATTTTGTTGTTATGGATATAAATGAGGATGTGAATGTGCCTTTGATTCTGGGTAGACCATTTCTTGACACCTCCAAGGCACTTATTGATGTGCATAGTGGTAAACTGATCTTGCGTGCTGAGAATGAACATGCTACTTTTTCTGTGGCTGACCTTCATCATTGTGATATGTCTGCTGTCACACCTATGCATGCTATTTCTCACCAGGTACACGAGCCTGTCGTGTACCCCACTATGCATCTCGTTTTGCAGGACCCCCCTCTCACGCCTTCGCCGCCACTCCCGGCACCTCACTTCCCAATAAAAAGCTCAAGGAGGAGTGGCGGCCGAAGCCACAGGTGGCTAAGCCTGCTTAGAAGAAAGGTGGAGACCACTATGAGCTGGTCCCATCTCCTGCACCACGACCACCCTGGCCATCTGAGTACTCCCTCGCCTGCATCTTGCCGGATGGCCAGGTCGAGCAGACCAATGCTGGTGGTCGCACCCGTTGGGTGCATGGCCACAATTTGAAGTTGTACCTCAAGAGCGATGTGGATCCACTCTTGGAGGCACCTGTTCCTACACCCCGCTGATTATCCACCATGGGCGTCCAGCTAAAAGACGGTAAAGAAGCGCTTGTGGAGAGGCAACCCCACCGTGGTTTTCATTTATTTCTTTTGTTTTGAGTCGGATTGTAAACTGGTTTGGTTTCTTTTGTTTTCGATGATGTATTATTGGGCTGACCATTGGACCTAACATATTGTGTTTGAGTTCTTCTGCTCCCTTTTAGCTGTGCTTTGTCCCTGACTGGTCCCCTCTCCAGTCCTCTTCGCTCAGACTGGTCCACTTCCAGTCTCATGTAGTCCGTGCACACCGGTAACATCGTTCCCCTTATCCTTCCCTCTTCTCCGTTGAGGGAAATGTCGAACTTAAGTGTGTGTGTGGGGGGGGGGGGGATGTTTCTCTTTTGACTGCATTAGATCTGTTTGTGTGCTTGGAGTCTAGTCCACTGTCCAAATTTTTAAATTTGAGGGCTCCAAGTACGTGTTTCCTTGCAAATTGCCTGCTCAGTATGCTTTGAATTGACAGTCTCTATAGTAATTTGCAACCTAGGGAGGTAGTGTAGCACTATGGAGGATGTTGAAGTATAAGTTTTTTCCTATCTAGCTCTCTGTTGTGTCAGTTGATTTTGTGAATTAGTGGAGCTAGGACCATTGAATTCATGTGGTAATGGTGACTCTATGTGGATTGTGTTATGGACTCGTGTATCGAACAGGGTGCTCATGTGAAAAATGAAATGCAGTCGGTCCTCCATGTCAAAATCTTTAAATCTTAAACATGGGGTAAGCCCAACGTGTGCGGCACCGTTCATTGCACAAAATTAGGTTTTGGAAGAGATTTTAGTGATCCTTAGTGGGGTACTCCTACAAGGTGAAGCTAAATTGTCTCTAGTACAAGTAAAACTTCCACCCGTTGAACGGTTTGCCTACTTGAGGATGTGTTTTTAAGGGCACGGATAGAGCTTCCGACCCCCCTTAATTTCATTGACCCTCCACATGAGTTGAGGAAAAGGATTTAAAAGAAGTACTCTGGCGAGCTCCAGATGTACAGAAATTGCTCTTGCTTGACTAATAAGGGTCGACCGTGTAAGAGACTGCAGTTGGAACCACCGCCAAGTGAATGAAAAAGAAAAAAAAGTAAAATGAAAGTGAAAAAGGGGTTCCAACAGTAAAATGAAGTGAAAGAGCACCCCAGTACAACGAGTCCTTGGTTTTGAATGATGTGAGTCCCTTTATCCATGAACTGACTGTCTTACTTCTACTTCTTCTCATGATCCTGGCTTGAGTCTAATACTCGCATTGAGAGAGATATGAGACGTCTTAGAAGACCAGTTGACCTCGTAAGCTGCTTTATGATCTAGAAAGTCCTCTACCGAGGATCGGGGTTGTTTGTTGCTATAAAGGTCTGGAGAGTTGCATTGGTTTGAGTTAGGTTTGCTTGGGGACAAGCAAACAGTTAAGTGTGGGGGGATTTGATGACTCGATATCTGCACATGTTTTCCCCTTTCTTTCTTGATCGTTTGAGCTTTAATTATCGCGTCTTTGGCCTATTTTACGCTAGGTTGTGTTCCTTTGTCACATTTCAGGTCCTAGCACATAAAGTGAAGCATAGGCGCAAGTTTCAAGTCAATCAGAGATCAATTGCCGATTAGGGAGAAGAAACTCGGGCATGACCTGAAGAAGAATGGATTTCTACCTCACTTTATGGACAAAGAATCATGCAAGCTTGTCATGAAAAGAAAGAGAACGAGACTACGAGCATCTGGGATCAAACAGCGACTGATTCGAAGTTCAGACGAGGGAGAAACGAAGCATTGAATATAGGAGAACAAGTTCGGCAGTTAAAACACAGGCACGCCAGTGTTTTTATTGCCGAGAGCTGAACTGATGGAAAAGCAAAACACGGGCGCGCCTAAACCAAAACACGGCCGTGTCCATATTTAGGCACGACCGTGTTTTGGCCAACGCGGGCATGTTTTTAACACGGGGCAAAACACGGGCGGGCAAAACCAAAGCACGGCCGTGCCCTCGACCGTGTTTTGCCCAGGGTCAGCCTTTTAGGCAGATTTGAGCCAAAGGAGAAGGAGTTCTGAGTTTTAGAGAGACAGAGCAATTCCTATAGAGAGAAAGCAACGAACCAGAGTTCCCAAGTGCCCTAGCTTGATCTTCATCACCATTGGAGACCGGCTTGAGCTTGGAGAAGTGCCGATGGACAACCAGGAGCAGAAATCCATCCTTCACATTATGGTTTCCGCATCTGAATCTGCTTTTGCTTCTCTCTCCATGGAGTAGTTTTCTTATCCATCTGGGTATGGAGTACCCTAGATTTGTATGTTAGGTCTGATTGTATGAACCCAAGTACAGATTCTATGATTTGATTATATTAAATTGAGGTTTGAATGATTGAATGGCATGAATCCTGATCAAATTCCTGTTACAGCTGCTTTGACCTAGAAAGAGAATATGTTCCTAGGTTGATAGAGCACCCTTAATTGAAGGTGGTGAATTGGCGACTTTAGTCGAGGAGCCAATTCACTATTCTGTACCGAATTTACTTCGGTAGTGGAGGTTTGGTTCGTTAGGGCCTCAATCTGTTTACTCCGGTGGAGGTTAGTCGCCCGCTGGAGACTCAGATTGAGAGGGTCTGGAGACCTTTAGTCAAGACTTCAGGCTGTTTAAGAACCTTCCGCAGTATAACTATCAAAAAAACTGAACTTGGTAAATTACAATCCGGCTTAACTGCAGCCTAGGGGGAACCATATCCAGGTGACCTCTCTCGACTTGAAAACAACCGTTTAATTGCTTGCTTGTTTGAACCTGCACTAAAGTTTCACCGCTAAATAATAAGAATTCGCTGAGTAGTCATCACATCTAGGACCCGGGTTGACATTAAAACCCAAACCCGCTATACTACGCTTTGGGAAGTGGTTATACTTGGCCATTTTCTAGAGTGAGAGTAGGAGTGAGTCACCCGCATCATAATTGTCATTCTAACCATGCGATTCATGTCAAAACTGTATCAATTGTTGCTAATGATATTATGAAGAAGAAGCACATGAATTTGAAAAAAATTCATTCAAAATTTACTTTAATTCGGAGGATTTAGGGATTTACGGTTAGGGTTTAGGTTTACAATTTGGGATTTTGGGTTGGGATTCAAAATTGAATGTTAAGGGGTTAGGGTAATGGATTGATTTGTTATGATTCTATGTCATATCATCATATTATATTGAGAGTACTAATCAAAGTTCAAAATTTGATGTATTATGAACGCTTTTAGAGCCAAAAAAAGTGAGTGCACCGAAGTAGTTACCATAACTTTTTGTTTTACATTTAGGCGCTAATAGAATTGTAATAAGGTGTTATTCTTAAAATACTTATTAGTGAAGTTTTATAGCCATTTCATCATTAAAAAAATGTCATGCTTTTCGATAATTTTCATAATAATAGTATTTTAGTACATTCCTTCCATCCAATAAATTTATATTTTTCCTCCCAAATTCTATAGAATTTTCCGTCCTCAATCTGCTGAATGTTAATTGACGAATAAATATTTCTCTGAAAACACCCTACCAACCTAATAAGTAATATTCACCCACAACCTACCGAGATACCTTTTCTGTTTTTGTCTATTGTTTTTCCTTCTTAACCTTTTATAACTTGGCATTTAGCTATAATAGAAAAGAAAAATTTACCATAGTTTGCATAAATCATTTGGGTTTAGTTCATTTTCTCGTAAAACCATTAGCAATTGTTGTCTTCATTAGTCTACATATTTATTCCATATGGATTCATGAAAATAATTGTATTTTTCTTTATGAATAAGATTCACACACCGATTCATTAAAAAATGATTGCATGTAAATCATATGTTATTTTAGGATTTTGAGTTTTGAATATTTTGCAACTTATAGATTTGGGTGCGCCTAACGTGACATGCATGTCACGATGACTTGTACTTTTCGGTCGACCTCAGTTAGGATTCAGTCGACCTAATATGTTGTTTCAGTGTAAAAACAGTTTCATGGTGCCTACTTTGGAGATTCATATCATACAATTGGCTAGATGGAAATTGAAGGTTAATGGCTTGTTTTGAAGACGGAGTGTCCCTCTACATATTGAAGTGATTAAGAGTTCGATAGGAAGTCCAGAAAACCATTTTTGAACCTGATCAAAAGGCCATGCCAAAATTGGGAAACTGCCTGAAAATGGCCAAGTCTGGAAACGTGTTTGTGAAGCCTACTTTGGAGCTCAATTCGAGAAGCATGAATGCGAGTC